GGCATAACAATAATGTTGTTGCAGTATATATAGAAAAAGCTCGTAAATTTGTAAATTTAATACGATTGCAAAGAATATCGTTCTATGCCCGTTATATCTGTGTAGTTAATCCAATTTTCTATTAATCCATTTCTATTTGTTGGCGGATTTTTATATGTAGAGACACCATGGAATGATGGGATATGATTTAGATGGTGATCGTGGACGTGAACGTAGGCCAATGGATCGCGGCGATCGTTCACGTGCCGGCCCGCGGTATAATGATCATAAGTCACGTGATCGCTACTGAGACTGGGAGAACGCATTGAGAACGCGTTAAGTCCGCTGAACAATATATGCTTTGCTTTTAAAAACAATAGATCTGTCAAATCCGCGCCAATAATTCTCGCGATAAAGCTAGTATATGAATGATGCGATTCTCAAAAGCAAACATTTTAGCGAACGACATGAGGTAAATTTGTAAATAGCTTGGTGAGCGAACACTACAGAACTTCCTATATGAACGAATAGAAGACGAGTTTCAAATTTCTAGCTGACCGAACATAATGTAGGGAATTTGATGCAGTTTAAATAGTTCTAGTTAAAACGTATTGAGAGTAGTATATTTTACGATTAGTGCGAGACACTGCTGTTTGTGTAATCAAGTTTTACTTGTAACTTACTTTCTTAACTTTATCGATTTTGTCAACCTATTTGCCTTTTCATAGAATTCTATAAATACATGACATATAGCAAAGAAGTTGGGCTATTCATATATATATATATATGGGATTTTGCTGTAGTTTGCTTTTAGTCTTTATAGCACTTTGCTTTTGTAAGAAAGCATTATCTAAAAGTTGTCTGTGGTATAAATTGCATTCCGTCCAATTCCAGGCGTTAGCTATTAGAAAAGCAGAAAATGTTTTGCGAAACGCTGTCACGGTCGCTTCCTGAGCATGAAAATGTCGTTTTCTACAATAAATACTGAAGTGCGCATAAGTCAACGATTCTCAAGAACGATTATGCGTATCTATTGGTGAAAAGCGTGCCTGAAGAAAACATTCGCAACAATGATATCAATATGACGTATTCAATGTAATATGACGTATTCACTGGTGACAACGGCGTGTGAATAGAGTATATCTGTCTAAAAAACTGTCTACATCTGCACCGTCTCTCTCATGGCTAGTGTTGGGTGCGTTGTTTGACTTGTTTCCAAAAGTCCCGGATCTAAGTTGCGCGACCCTTATTTGACGGGATAGGAATATTGCAATATAGCTATTACGGGGTAATTACCTCGGAGCTTGGGCGCAAACGGAGCACTAAGGAAAGAGCACTGAATTATAAGAGCAAAATCAAGAACACTCTCGTTCATATTTGCATTGTGTGTAACCATATTTAATGTGTTGTAATGCACCTTTAATTTACTGTCGATTTTTATCGGCCGGTTGTTTATTTAATGGTGTTAAAACGAAAAACAGTCAGTGGAATGAATATATAGGCTTTTTATATCATTGTTTTTCTAAACGTGTTTTGTCAAATGTCGTGCAATGCGGACGCAGTAATTGGGTACGGACGCTTATATTTTGGTATTCAGCGTTGTCATTTAGGTTCTGAGAAAACATATACTTGCAACCTTGAATATATATATTCCGAACTCTGTCTATTTGCAAATTTGGGGTTCGTCTGTGTTTAATATCTACGTTTGGGCCTAACCACAGTTAACAGAGGTATGAGCTTGTATTTGGTGACCTGGAGAGAAAGTATTACTGGCATACGTTTGGGAACATGTTGTGGTCCGTTCGGCTAATAGGGTTATTAGCTTTCTAGAATATGATTATAGTTTTATAATCCAAGAAATCAGTTTTCTGTTTCTAAAGCAATAGAAATGGTGAAATGCATAACACAACATCGGATGCTTACACCACCGTGTTCAATAAACTTGAATAAGTACAAAAAAGATGTGAAGGAAAGCTAGAGAAACTTCTCTTTTAAACACCGCTGTATATTAGGTTCGAGTCCATACTGTTTCTGGTGTTTGTCATAAGGTTTACAAGCTGAATGGAAAACAAGATAACTTGCTGAATTTAAGAATATATAGGTTGGCAACTAACCATTACAAATAAGATAACTATTGCAGATGAAGTTTTTATGCGAAAGAATGCATTCAAGAATATTAATAGAGCTTAATTGTGGAATTGATGTTCGTCTCTGGGAGGTATGTAGCAACTTTTAAGATAAAGGCTGTAAAGAATCGTGAATTGCCACATATCATATATGTTGAAGTAGCGAGACTACCTTAAATCCTCTATTATGCGCTAGTTATGGGCAAACGCAGCATTTTTGTTGTTAGCTTATGACTCATCGTAAAAAGGAAACCCTATGCTAAAATAGAACTCTGTCATATATAGGGAACCGATTACATGGACCAGCAGGTTTTACTGGGCTGGTCCGTCTTGATAAAGCAACTCTATATTATTCTCTTTTAATAACATGGTAGTTTGCTTTGGCGAGATCTCGCTTGCCTCAGAGAGCTAGTTCTCTTACCCGGAATGGAATTCTCTATATAATTATTTTTATTTCAACAAAGTGAGCTAAAAGCTAAAGATCAAGGAGCTAAATTGCCTAAAATATAGCACATTTCCTTAGGTTTTTATAAAAATGTAAAAACTTTAACCTAAACCAAAACCACAAATACAACATTGTGTGTCAAATAAGCGCTTTCGATGGTGAAGCGGCTGCAATTCGTACTTGAAAGTGAAGAAAGTATATTTGTGACAATATTGAATGGCATTATAGCGACAAACAAGGATCTATATATACTTGATCACTGATCAACTTTCTAAAATTTTCATTGTTTATAAGGTTGTTTTGTTCCATCCAGGTCCATATTCCCCTATCCGCGGAGATGTAGGAGAGGACTGGTGCATGATATATTAGTTGACAGTCAAAGCAGTCCTCTGTCGTTTTAGCAAAAGGCTTGCTCAGTAATACTGGTTACCCTCGGTCCATGTAGTTGGTCTTGTTGGTACTAGGGCAGGGAAATGCATATATGGTTGGGGGTAATGTGGGGGGCGGGATCAATTTGCTTGGTTTATTGCTTGGAAATTATGAACCACGCCAATATGTCTGCACTATTTGTTTGGGGGGAGGAAGAGGGGGGTTCGGGGATGGATGGGGATGCTTATGCATTGCGTCTAAACCAGGCTAAAATTGTAAGGTTTAATAGAGGATTTATGGTATATCAAAAAATATATCAATACTAAATTCGCATGCTTTGGACAACCTACACGAATCTCTCTTAATTGAATTATTTTATCTAAGAAAATGGGCGATGGAATGTGTAGTAGAATTACAGAACTGAACTGTGTAGTGTATACTTGTGCACCTTTGCTTTTTCAAACAGTGTCTGTGATGTATAGGGTTAGTTCATGGTGGGGGAGTGATATTTACTATAAACATAGAGCATGTGTAAGCTAGCTCTTGGCAGACCCTCGTTTAATTTGGGGTCTGATTTGAAAAGACTTTGAGGGTAACGAGGGCCTGCCACGCAGGCAGTTTTCTAACTATGCCGCAGGTATGTGACTGTATAGCATATGTTATAGCTTTGCTCTTTCCTGTTCTAACTTGTAATGGATAATAGCTGGATGAGGTCTATTATTATGAAAACGTAGACGTAACTGCACATAGATCATAATTTTAGGCAAGAAACCAATTAAAATCTATATTATGTCATAATCTTTAGCTCTTGGTTGATTCTACAAAGTTTGAGTTGCTTGCCTGTTAAAACAGCAATGATGATAGGAATTTTTTGTAAACATGTTTTAAAAAACAATCAACCAAGTTGGCAGCAAGACTGTCTGCATAAGAACCGGCTTCGTGCTATTTTCTAAATTTTGTTCAACGCGAGAACATTTTCGATATTACAAAACTGGACATTACAAAAGTCGTCAAAGTGTATTCGTTATATGACTTATTCAATAGCTAGTACAAAGCTTATATAAGATATTTCAGCAAATCGTCTTAATTCATTTGAATTTTTTTCTTTCCTTAGACGAAGACAAAAGCTATATGTGCACGCTAAAAAAGATGGTTATAGAATCGGCATGCTGCAGTTAAAGGGAGGAATTACAGACGAATAATTATCTGGTACTTATACTGTTCCTGTCTTTTATATTACGGAAACCACTATGCGGTAACCAATGCAACCTAGATTGTAGAACTAATGGATTGAATAGAGATTGTGCGTATGCGCAAATTTCCCGCGGCTAAGGACAAAAACCTTAACATATATTAACAGTGAATAACTAATTTCACTGTAACTCTCTTCCATTTCTAACACTCAGCAATTTTTCTCTGTTGAATTTAGGTTTGCAAATGGATAAAGATTATTGAAATATAAGGATAAGGTGCTTAAACTGGTGTGGCGAAATCGATGAGTAAAACGTCTGAAAAAACCATTCAACATCAGATGCAAGGTTAGTTCAAAAATTATTAATACATAAATCAATACTGAGATTATGACATGATTTCGTCAACCGGCATGTATAACTATATGTCATATTCGTTCATTTGTATTGTTAATCTATTTTGTCCAAAAATAGCAATGCACTGGCTACAGTTTTGCGATGATGAAATGATTTCTCTTACTGTGTAATCGTTGCAGCGCCAGAAATGGCTGAACCCACTGTTGACGATTTTACGGACATGAGGAGAAATACCAGTTTGTCTGGTGTCTGAGCATAACTATGTAGAACATATTTAATACCGAAAATATTTAATAAAAATATTCGCTCGAACTTTCTTGAAACAAAAAGGAACATCGCTCCATCAATGATTCGATCGTTTTTTCACGACTTGTACTAGTATCTAAAATTGTATCTTTTGCTTTCCTGCAGAAACCAGAATTGCGCAATGTTCGATCCATGATCATATTTTGAAATTGTTTTCGTTCACGTGGTAAGTGATCGCGTAACTTAAAGTAAAGTTCTGGGGTCTTGAAATATAGGTTAAAGTGGAAGTGAATCCGTATGTAAACAAACGAGTTATTTGCACTTTGGACTTCTATACTTTTTTTTTAAATGGCTATGATGTTTTTCTAAATATCTAACACCATTTAGGTTCACTACGCTTCCAAACGAATATGAATTAGAGTTTATGTTCGAAACATGCGAAACATGGGTATTCATTTACATCATAGGGCCCTTACATTTTCATGAGCATGACCGATGTGAGATCGGATATGACTTCCACTTTAATCTAGAGACAGCAATGTTTATACGAATTTGATATCTTTGTGCCTTTCAAATTCAAACACGTATACCATCTACAGTTTGCGATGATGAAGTGATTTCTCTTACTGTGTAATCATTGCAGCGCCAGAAATGGCTGAACCCACTGTTAATGATTTTACGGACGTGAAGAGAAATGCCAGCTGGTCTGGTGTCTGAGCATAACTGCATGCATAGAAAAATCACCAAGGTATTTGAAAATAATGTTTTAAAAAGAATATAAATTGTTTAATCGTTCAAATCGTTCATGCTACCTAAAAATAAAATGCTACCTAATTTCATTTAGTTGGGATGACGCTTACGTTCTGGCGAAGTGTGCAGGTCACATACCACAGCAATAAAATAGGCTCGATATTGTTCGAGGTATACAATTCAGTCCAACAAGAGCTTTTGTTTAGAAACGCCGGTGAAGAAAAGAAGAACTTTATACTTCATAACAAAATAATGTTGTAGCCTCAGGAACCAGGCCGCAATCCAGGAGGATCTTCATCGAATACATACTTACGATAAACCTGTAATCCTTCAAAAACAGTAAACATTTTGAGATTGTTTAATTTACTTTTAATCCGACTGTGCCAATACATCGTTCAGGCCAAAACCAACTTCTAATAATTATACGTAAGATTGAAGATGAGGCACAGTCCGTTCTGCGCATCGGTTCTGCTCATAAGGATAGGACGGGGCAATTGATTAAGTTCCCCACATTTTTTAGAAAGTAACTCGATTTCATATACATTTTCGATGTATACCGGACCAGAAATCGTGTTAGACATTCTGACGGTCATCATATTTTAAAAATATTCAAAAGAATTTGTACATTACGGACTTCAATAAATATGATGCAACCTTTAGTGTCATAACGTCGTAAGCTTTTTTTATTTATTCTTTCGTGGAAACAATATATTTTTATTTCAACAGCTAAAATGACATAATCAAAAAATTCAGCAGAATGTGTAACGGGAACTCAAAGGAAAAAACGCAATCTTTCGAAATTTTTAGTTCCCTCCCCGAGAATGCCCGGAAATAGCTGAAAAATATAGAAAACCGTTCTTTCGTGCAAACAATACATTTCTGTAAAATCGGTAACAATAAAATCATACTTTGACGATTTTCAAAATTTCAGGAAAATCGGCAACGGGGGACCTAAGAAAAATCGTGATTTTCGTCAAAGTTTTGAACTTTCGAAATTCTGTTCCAAATACCTCGAAATAGTTCAAAACTAAGTACAATTACATTCTTTGATGTAACGAATACATTTGAACACATAAAATCATACTTTGTCATATTTTGATAAATTTCAGAAAAATCGGTAACGGGGGACCAAAGAAAAATTGTGATTTTAGTCAATTTTTGAAATTTCAAAATTCGGTTCCAAATACCTCGAAATGGATCATAACTAAGTACAATTACATTCTTTGATGTAACGAATACATTTGAACACATAAAATCATACTTTGATAAATTTCAGAAAAATCGGTAACGGGGGACCAAAGGAAAAATTGTGATTTTAGTCAATTTTTTTGAATTTTAAAATTTGGTTCCAAATACCTCGAAATGGATCAAAACTAAGTACAATTACATTCTTTGGTGTCACGAATATATTTGAACAGATAAAATCATACTTTGGGAATTTCAAAAAAATCAAAGGAGGGGGTATCAAAGGAAAAATTGTGATTTTAGTCAATTTTTTGAAATTTTAAAATTCGGTTCCAAATACCTCGAAATGCTTCAAAACTGAGTAAAATTACATTCCTTCATGAAAACAATCCATTTAACACATAAAATAATACTTTCACAAATTTCAGAAAAGTCGGCAACGGGGGACCAAAGGAAAAATCGTAATTTTCGTCAGTTTTTCGAAATTTAAAAATTCGGTTAAAAATACCTCGAAATGCTTCAAAACTGAGTAGAATTACATTCCTTCATAAAAACAATCCATTTCAACACATAAAATCATACTTTCACAAATTTAAAAATTTCAGAAAAGTCGGCAACGGGGGACCAAAGGAAAAATCGTAATTTTCGTCAGTTTTTCGAAATTTCAAAATTCGGTTCCAAATACCTCGAAATGCTTTAAAACTGAGTAGAATTACATTCCTTAATGAAATCAATCCATTTGAACACATAAAATCATACTTTCACAAATTTCAGAAAAGTCGGCAACGGGGGACCAAAGGAAAAATCGTAATTTTCGTCAGTCTTTCAAAATTTCAAAATTAGGTTCAAAATACCTCCAAATGCTTCAAAACCGAGTAGAATTGCATTCCTTCATAAAAACAATGAAGAGCAGGGACCTTGCAGGTAGGCAGAAAGGTTACTCCAGTTCAATGACTTCCGAATGGCAAATATTTCTCAAGGTTTCTCGAAAAGTTAATTCAATGAAATTATTGGGCTGGTTAGTATACATCAAATATACTTCCTGCAGTCGAATGGACTAATAATAGTATCGACGGCCGATAAATGAAATAAACTTGCAGGGTATTTATTATCTGCTAGTGGGGCTGGGTGGTAAATCACACTAACAAAGATGCAGAATATTTCGCGTAGTATAATCGGTACTGTTGTATTGTTTTTCGTTTTCCTGAAAGAATGTACGTACACTTAGTTTCAAACCATTTCGATGTAGTTTAAACTGTATTTCGATATTTTGAAAAATTGCAATTTTTCTTAAGGTTGCCTTAAACCTTATCATTTTGTTCGTAATTGAGGAATTTTTTAATGTCCTCAAAATAGCTTTAAATATTGATTAGGACTCATCTCTTTGGTTTTTAGCATGTATTGTATTTGGTTTTGGCGAAATGTTATGAGGTAGCCTTTTGGCCGAATTTGACGATTTTCGAAAATTTTCTAAAAATGTGACAACATGCTGAGAATGGCTTCAAATGTTTCCTAAGACTAAACTCTTTGGTTTTTGAGCATATTTGGTTCGTTTTTCGAACATTGATAAAGTCGTCCCACAATCACCTCATTGAGCGATGTCATAGTATACTAACTACAAAGCCTTTAAAAGCTTTAAAACAGTTATACAGAATAATACATATAATAAAATAATAATAAAAGGTTGATATCAACGTACGATCCGGTGGTCGAGTGGTTAAGGTTGCGATCTGCCAGTTTGTTAGCGTAGGTTCGAATCCTGCATGGGAAAAGTTCGATTTTTCCACCCGAAATTACTATTTAATTTAAAATTCGTCGAAAAGGATTTAGTCCAATAAAGAACAATAGCCTTCGACATATGATGCGGTGGTCTTGTGGTTAAGACGTTCGTCTCTCAATCCGAGAACAGACGTTTCAACTCCTGGCAACGCAAGAAAATTAGCCAGAAAAATTTCGGTGTGATTTGGAATGTTTAAATTAGTTAAAAGACTTCTCGGCCTTTCTCCTGTAAATTAAAAAAATTTGAAAAAAATTTCTCGCGTTCAAAAGTACTTGAAAATTGAAAAAAAAGCACGAGCAAAAAAATTTTAAAAACATGTGTCTTCTAAAAAGACTGAAAATTAAAAGTCGGAAAAAAAATTAAAAAATTTCCCGCTTTTAAAAAACTCATGTTTACTTACCTTAATTTTTTTTCACGAAAATTTGACAGGGTGATTTTCTCGAGACAGAAAAAATTTACTTTTTTTCACTTTTTTGAAATTCTCTTCGATTTTTTTTGACGCGGAAGTATTTTGTCTTGGGCTACCTGTGTTTGTCTTGGGCAACCTGTGTCTGGCTTGACACAGGTAGCCCAAAACAAAATACTTCCGCGTCAAAAAAAAAATCTAAGAGAATTTCAAAAAATCACCCTGTCAAATTTTCGTGAAAAAAAATTAAGGTAAGTAAACATGAGTTTTTTAAAAGCGGGAAATTATTTGATTTTTTCCGTCTGACTTTCTTCATCTTCAGGCTTTTTAGAAGACACGTGTTTTTAAAACTTTTTTTACTTGTGCTTTTCTTTTAATTTTCAGGCACTTTTGAACGCGATAATTTTTTTTTTTATTTCAAATTTTTTTTCAATTTACAGTCTTTCACAAAGTCCGAGAAGTCTTTTCACTGTTTTACACATTCCAAATCACACCGAGATTTTCCAGGCTAATTTTGTTGCACTGCCAGGAGTTGAAACGTTTGTCCTCGGATTGAGAGACGAACGTCTTAACCACTAGGCCACCGCGTCATTTGTCGAAAGCTATTGTTCTCTATTTGACCTAATCCTTTTCGATGAATTTTAAATTAAATAGTAATCTCGGTGGGAAAAATCGAACCTTTCCCATGCAGGATTCGAACCTACCTTTAAAACCTGGTAGGCCGAAGCCTTAACCACTGGGCCGTAGGATTGGTTGTTGATAGCAGCCTTATTATTTATGTTATTGAGGTAGCCCAGTAGTTAAGGCTTCGGCCTATCAGGTTGTAAGGGTAGGTTCGAATCCTGCATGGGAAAGGTTCGATTTTTCCCACCGAAAATTACTATTTAATTTAAAATTCATCGAAAAGGATTAGGTCAAATAGAGAACAATAGCTTTCGACAAATGACGCGGTGGTCTAGTGGTTAGACGTTCGTCTCTCAATCCGAGAACAAACGTTTCAACTCCTGGCAATGCAACAAAATTTGCCTGAAAAATCTCGGTGTGATTTGCAATGTGTAAAACAGTGAAAAGACTTCTCGGACTTTGTGAAAGACTGTAAATTGAAAAAAAATTTGAAATAAAAAAATAAATTATCGCGTTCAAAAGTACCTGAAAATTAAAAGAAAAGCACAAGTAAAAGAAGTTTTAAAAACACGTGTCTTCTAACAAAGCCTGAAAATGAAGAAAATCAGACGGAAAAAATCAAACAATTTCCCGCTTTTAAAAAACTCATGTTTACTTACCTTAATTTTTTTTCACGAAAATTTGACAGGGTGATTTTCTCGAGAGTGAAAAAATTTAATTTTTTTCACTTTTTTGAAATTCTCTTAGATTTTTTTTTGACGCGGAAGTATTTTGTCTTGGGCTACCTGTGTCTGTCTTGGGCTACTGTGTCTGGCTTGACACAGGTAGCCCAAGACAAAATACTTTCGCGTCAAAAAAAATCTAAGAGAATTTCAAAAAAGGGAAAAAAATTAAATTTTTTCACTCTCGAGAAAATCACCCTGTCAAATTTTCATGAAAAAAAATTAAGGTAAGTAAACATGAGTTTTTTAAAAGCGGGAAATTTTTTAATTTTTTTTCCGACTTTTAATTTTCAGTCTTTTTAGAAGACACATGTTTTTAAAATTTTTTTGGTTGTTCTTTTTTTTCAATTTTCAAGTACTTTTGAACGCGAGAAAGTTTTTTCAAATTTTTTTAATTTACAGGAGAAAGGCCTTTTAACTTTAAGAAGTCTTTTAACTAATTCAAACATTGCAAATCACACCAAAATTTTTCTGGCTAATTTTTTTGCATTGCGAGGAGTTGAAACGTCTGTCCTCGGATAGATAGATGAACGCCTTAACCACTAGACCACCACATCATTTGTCGAAAGCTATTGTTCTTTATTTGACTAAATACTTTTCGACGAATTTTAGATTAAACAGTAATTTCGGTGGGAAAAATCGAACCTTTCCCATGCTGGATTTGAACCTACGCTTTCAACCTGGGAGGCCGTAGCCTTAACCACTGGGCCACGGGAAATGTAAGTAGGTTGGTATTAACACCGGATCCACCTACCAGGTTGTGAGCGTAGGTTCGAATCCTGCATGGGAAAAGTGCCATTTTTTCCAACGAAATTACTGTTTAATTTAAATTCTCCAGGCTTAAGTCAAAGTAAATTAAATTAAAGTCAAAGTAAAGCACTTCGAGGCGTTTAGCACCGAATTTTGAAATTTCGAAAAATAGGGAAATTATAATTTTTT